AGGGGGAGGACGACATGCCGCTTCTAGAGCCACTTTCTAGAGAAGAGATGAGTTTGGGGAATGATTGGAGGGGTGCTGATTTCATCGGGAGAAAGGAAGAATTCCATCGCCGAGGTGCTGATTTTGAAGGGAGAAGAGGTGAATATGATGAAGGATTCAGATATAATCGCCGGAGGGAAGATCGTGACAGTTGGGGAGTACCTCATCTTTGAGGAATGGGAGGCTATGGAGAATTCAGGGGAAACGGGGGAGACCCACGGGTGAGGAAGCTGAAGATGCCTGTCTTTGAGGGGGAAGACGGCCATGGTTGGATCTACAAGGTGGAGCGCTACTTCGCTGTCAACGGGTTGACAGAGGAAGAAAAGCTGACGGCAAAGAGATTGTGTTTGGAAGGAAAAGCCTTGGCCTGGTATCAGTGGCGTGATAGGGGGGAGCCCATCCGGAGTTGGAGACAGTTCAAGGATTGCTTATTGGAGCGTTTTCGAGCCGATGGGGGATGAGATTTCTATGAGCAATTCTTTGCTCTGACTCAGGAGGGGACCGTGGCAAACTACTGAGACAAGTTCAAGTACTTGACTAGCAGATTGGATCACATTTTAGAGTCAGCCCTGGAAGGGAACTTCATGAAGGGGCTAAAACCGAAGATCCGAACAGCAGTCAGGGTGCTGGAGCCAAGGAACCTAGGGAAGGCTATGGAGTTAGCACAGTTGGTGGAAGATAAGATGAAATTTCATTTGAATTTCAAATCTCATTTGAATTCAAATTAAGAGACTTTCCAAATTAATAATAGGATAATTTAGGAAGATGTTTAAGAGGCACTTTGAATTTGAAAACAAGGGTTTGTGGAGCATGAAGGGCTGGCGGCTTAGGCTTGGGTTAGGTAGGCCGGCGACTAGGAGAGAAGCCGGAGCTTGGGGATTTAGTAGGGGAATGGGAGGGCGAAGAGGCTAGGAGCCGTAGGGTTGGGTGGAGAGGGGAGGGGGCCGATGGCTTGAGGTGGAGATGGAAGGAGGCTGGCGTGTATGGGTGGAGGGGAGAGGTGTGGACGGATTTTAGGGGGAGGGTGTGGGTTTAGGGTTTAGGGTTGAAGGAAAGGGAGAGGAGAATAAGAACAGATACAAATCACGAGCCTATAATCTACCGGTGGCTGACGGGAATTGCCTGGCCGTCTATTAGGATTTCCTCCACTCTCAAAAACTCAAAACAATGAGAAATAACAAGTGCTGAAATTTTTATTAAACAATCATCATTCCTAATACAAAAGCTAGGGCATTCATATATAGGCCTCAAGGAACAAAAGACGCAAAAATAAAATTGCCCTCTAGGCTACAACATGAACTAATCCCTCTCAGAGGTACAATGGTAAACCAGAACATTAATAAAAATAAAATACATAAATGCATCACAAATAAAGACTCCTAATCGTAGCCGTCGATCTACGATGTCTCCTTTGAGGCTCTGATAGATGCGCCAGAATCTCCTGCTTATGTCCTCATCAGATATTATTAGATTTAAATTAGAGTTTGACTCTTAAGATGACACAATGGAGAAAAGGATTCTTGTCACTTAACCCATGTAGTGGGATAATTTTTTTAATTGCGACACTCCAATGCCGTGTCGGACACGTGTCCATGTCGTGTCTGACGCGTGTCCGTGTCCGACACTGCATACCCTCTCTAAGTGTCGTGTCGGTGCATCATAGGGTAAACCAGAACATTAATAAAAATAAAATATATAAATGCATCACAAATAAAGGCTCCTAATCATAGCCGTCGATCTACGATGTCTCCTCTGATAGATATGACAGAATCTCCTGCTTATGTCCTCATCAGATATTATTAGAAATAATATTTTTTATTAGATTTAAATTAGAGTTTGACTCTTAAGATGACACAATGGAGAAAAGGATTCTTGTCACTTAACCCATGTAGTGTGATAAAGGTTTGATGTTGTTGTTGTATTTATCTCGTAAGCATTTAAGAGGATGAAAATGACATCCAATTCCCCTATTGGAAAACACATAGGTATTAAGTACTCCAATGACACTCGAACAATGAAGTGGCTATGATGTCTATCTTTCAACAATAGTCTAATAGTCACTACCATATTCAAAGTTATATACACCCATCAATAAAAAAGATATCACTCCCTGGATTTGGATCAAAATTCAGTTGAGGGAGGCGGATGATGCAGGACTAAATATGTTTTTAAATGAATGTGATAAGAACTTGCACGTTTTAAATAAGAGAAAATAGTAATTAAGGTTATTAGCCACTAAACGATGATAGAAAACGAAAGAGAGGTAGTTACGCTTAGGCCAAATCACATACTAAGAACTTGAATCGCCAAAGTAATTTAGAATTTCAACAAAATGTAAATTAAGTAGTTATTCAATAAAATCCCTAAGTTAACATTGAGATTAGAACATAGAAAATCAAGAACTCAAATCTTACGTTTACTAAACAAAGGCAGAGAACTTGGCACAAATCCTTGTGCTTCAATCACCACCTACAAGATCAGAGGATTTAGAAGATAAATGAATAGGGGAAGAAGTTCACCCTTGTCGAAGACCAGAAGCAATTTTCCACTGAACGTTGGCAAGCTATTCTTCGATTGCTTCGGATAGTTTGAAGATGGTGCAATCCAAATATTCTTCGACGGAGTTGTCGACTTACAGGTTGACGTTAAAGAATGTTGACCGGAGAATGTCGATGTTTTCTTGCTCATTGTAAACGAATCCAGAATCAAGATCGGGATCGGCCATTCATCGGTTCCGAAGGGTTGAAGACGATGGTCGTTGCTTCCCTTAAAGACTCCACTTGAGAGAAAGAAGTCTCTCACAGATTGAGGTGGAGAATAGGGAGGGAAGTGGCCGCCCTAATGAAGGAGGTTTAGGACTAGTAAGTTCAGATTTTTGGTGGAGTTAGAGTTGAATTTGAGAGAGGATTTTGGAAGGAAAGGCTGGAATTAATTTCCAAATCAAAGTCTCTTGAGTTGGAAAGAATTTAAAGGAGGTATGAAAGCATGGAGGGGGGCCGGTGGAGTAGAGGAGGCTTGGGATTTAATTCCAAAAGAAAAAGGTGTGATTTTGGAAAGAAGTAGAGGTGGGGCCTTGGGAATTTCGGCCAAGAGAGAGGGGGTGGCTTGAATTATTTTCAAGAGTGTAGCTTGACTTTGGAAATAATTCCAAAGAGGACCATGAGGGGGCCGGCGGCATAGGGGGAAGGAATTGGAGAAAATAAGCAAAGTTTATTGCTTTCCTAGTTGGGATTCTCTAATTAGGATACAGGATTTAATTCCAATCCAAATCAAATTAATTTTGAATTTGATTTCGGAAACTTTCCTAAAATAGAATCCTATTTTAGGAAACGTTTCAAATTCAAATTTTATTTTGGAATGATTGAAATTATCACCTCTCAAAAAGAGAACATATGAAAAAGGAAAGTAATAATGAGATTTGCAAATTTGGGAGCAAGGGGCCAGCGGCTTGGTGGTTGGGTTGTGGGTGGGGTGAGGGGAGAAGGGGTTGGGTGCTAGCCAATGGGCTTGGGTGGGGCTATTAGTGGTCGGTGGCTTGAGTTGGGGGTGGGCCGTGGGTTGGAGGAACAAGGAGGGAGGGAGGTTAGAAATAAAAGAACAGATAAAACTAGCCACGAACCTGGACTCTTCCAAGGTTGGTGGGTGGTCCGCTTCCCTTTCCAAGGGATTTCTCTTACAAACTCTCTCAAGCCTCACAAGAACTCACTATATATAGCCTCATACAATGGACGAAAAATAAAAGACGACTTCGTCCTTTGATCTTACACATGACCACCCTTAAGGCCTTAAGGGGTAAAAAGGGGAAAGCAAATACAAACACAAATACATATGAAGACTTAAAAATATATCGACACGATCGTGGCCACAGATCGGCGGCCACGCCTCTGATAAACTTTTCATGCTCTGATGTCCCCATCAGCGGAACTCTTATCAAAAAATCAAATTTTGATGACATAGTTGTCTTAAAACTTTTGTTCATTTCAAAAATAAAAAACATGAAGGGTAGTATTTGGTTCTAGTCAGATCAATATTAAATATCGACGGTACGCATATGATCCTGATAAAAAATCAACGATTATTCAAACTTAACCCGATTGAAGATAAATAGTTATTCAAAAAAAAAATCCCTGCATTTAATTATTGTGTTTCTGCATGATACCGAGGCTTTGGTGCTAAGAGAGATGGAAGGCTACCAATGGAAGAGCATTACAATTGATTCTAGCGCTGGAGAGAGAGAGTGGGAGAGAATGATTGAGGGCCTAGGTTTTGCATGAGTACCTGTGGAGAGTAGTTTTAAGTGAGAGGTTAGCCATCGGAATTGGGGGTGTCAATGTATATAGGTGTAGGCATAAAGGGAGAACGTTGGAGTACATGTGATGCTAGCGGCTAACGTAGGAGGAAGTGGAGCACGTGGTATTAGATACCATTAGAGTATAGGGTGAATGGTTGTGCAACATCACTAGGGTGAGAGTCGGGTCGGGAGAGAAAGAGAAGGCATGTAAGGACCTAGCGCACAGGTGAGGACTTGAGGGGGATGGGAGTTGGAGAGGGCGACTGCATTAGAGATCCTCCTGTGACGTGCTAAAAACTTTTGCCTACTCACCACAATCAAGTTAGATCGTGGTCTGTCGCTTTTTCTTGATCTTGCTCATGTTCTTTATCATAGTGAGGGAAACAAAAGGAAGTATTTATGACTATATTGAAAAAACTGATTGTTTAACCAACAGATTCTGCGGTGTTTTTTTTTTTTCTCACTGTTTCTTTTTCGTTGATAATCAAATATGCTTGAAGCATATGCTCTCTGGTTTCTAAAGCCGTAAAGAAAAAAAATGAGTTCCAATACACCAAGGTAAGATTTTGCATGCTGCAGATTTTGATCAAATGTAATTTGATATTTGAAGTTCATTTTGGAATGCTGGGTGCCTCAACATTTTTACTTCCATTTTCCCTTCCCTTTGCAGGCTTCATCCAAGGTTTTGTCCACTGAGGCCATAGATGCTGCGGGTAATATATGCCGCAGACTTGAGCTGGGATCTAAGCTTAGCGATGCTATTAGCAGAAAGGAAGATGCATTTGCTCTTTTTGATCTGTTTAGAGATGAGCGCTATTTACTTTTAGAAGGAAAACAAAAGTTCCGTGTGAGTAGAAAATAGTATGGTATTTAAACAGCATGCTTGTTGCATCTGATCGTCCAGCTGTTAATTCTTTACATGATGAATACTTAATGTAGGTAATACTTAAAGAAGACTCTTCACCAGAAGACATGCTCAAATCTCTCTTCCATGTCAACTATCTTTACTGGCTTGAGCAAAATGTGGGAATAGCACCGAAAAGCATTGCTGATGAGTGTACTTCAGGGGGTAGGCTGCAGATTTCCTTAGATTATATACAGAGGGAGTTCATTTACATCAGGCGTGATGGTTTACAATGTGGCTGGCTTACAGATGGGTTGATTGCAAGGCCCTTACCAAACAGAATACTGCCAGGTTGTGATGCCAACTCAATTGTGCATTCAAGTTGATCGTTTATACAAAAATTTTTTTCCTCTGCTACTGGAGGGTTGAGACAAAAGCTAGATCAATTTGGTATCCGTCATTGCTGCGCCCTCAAAATTCTTTTCTTGATCATGTCCACTCAAAAACTTAGTGCAGAATGCTAAGCAACCTTAATGTTTCTTGTGCGGCCGATGTCCAGAAGGTTTTCACAGGTTTTACGTGCTTTGAAATCTGGAATCGCCTGAATGGCTTCTCACTTTCTTGAGATTTCAATCAACGATCATAATTGGTATCTGGTAGCTGACGTGTTGTGGTTAGATTATACTTCATACACATTCATACCGTGATTATTATATTAGTATATTACGTGCTTAGCATTTGATGTGATGTTATCTTTCCTAAACAATTTATATGATAATTGGCTCTCCAAGGAGATAGAACCATAGAAGCTCTAATGCAATTTGAAATATTTGTTTATATATCATAAAATAAAATAAAAATTCTTGATCGGGCATGAATTTTGAGGCAATGTTGAATCGTAAATTTTTAAATTAATTTTGAGATTATTTGAACTCCAATTTTAATAAATTTATAGTCAAACTGAACATATCAAAAAGATGAACTCAACAATGCCAACTTTGATCAAATTCAACCCCAAATGGGTTCAAATCGAGGGCCCAAGCACTTTTGGAAGCTGCAAAGTATAAATTGGACAACAAAATAAATTTAAAATGTGACATGCTTTTAGTCGAATAGAGTGGTTCGATGAGATGAATCCTACAAGCTCATGATTTGCTGAATTTTGATATCATTATGATGCATAAATGTGTGATAAACGGTCTATAATCTCTTTTGCCACTAAGCTTCTTGACCACCCCACGACCACTAGTCATTGCCTGACTTTCAACTAGCCATTGACCATCGTCGGATTTTTGTCCGACCACAAGCTATTATCAAACTTTTGCTCGACCATCGATTTATGTCGAACTTCCACCCAATTGTTGATCATCGCTAGACCTCAGTCAAGCTATTGCTTGTCGCTAGTTTTTGCCTCGATTCTCAATATTTTTGTAATTCCACTACCTCCAACTGAAAGGATAGATCATGCTTTGTAACTCACAACAAACTTTTATTAAAATGATAAAAATAAAAGGATTCAACCTTATCACTATCTTATATGGATCTTTTAGTGGTGTAAGTGAGTCAAGCCGACTCATGAGCTAGCTCGGGCTTGGCTCGATAAATTGCTCTAGAGCTGAGCTCAATGAGCTAAAGAGTCAAGCTTGAGCAAACTCTAAACTCGTTAGCTCATGCACCAACTCGTTCGAAAGATATTAATATAAACTATAGTTAAAATATATTATGATTCAAGATTTTAAGTATAAAGATATTAAAAAAATGTTAATATTATATCTCACTCTTATATAAAGTGAGATTTTATTATTTTTCTAATAATTTCTCATTCTTTTTTACAATGCTTAAATCATAATATATATTTTTCTCTTTTATAATAAATGAGCCGACTCATGAGATGGCTAAAATTTGTAGAATAAAGCTGGAGCTCGAACTCAATTAATTAATCAAGTTTATGCTCAAATCGGGGGTGACTCGAGCTTGACTTGACTCGACTCTTTTACACCCCTAGAAAAAGTTGATGGGTTGATATGGGTGGATAAGTTGTTAAATAGTCAGAGTCAAAATGTCTTGGCAAGTTAACTAAACCACAGACTGAAAGTCCTAGACAATAGGTGGGTTCAAAGGAGAATTGTCAAGTCGAATGTGGTCGAGGTTTCTAATACGAGACAAATCATTTTAAGGGGAACAACTAAGTTCTATAGCATTATACAAATTCAATACACAACTCTCCTTGGCCTATTGGTTGAGAGCTTAGGCTTCCAACTAAGAGGTTCAGGATTCGAGTCTATGTGTATGCGCTGTGTGTGTGAGTTTGCCTTAAATGACCTAAATGTCCCAAAAAAAAAATTTATACAAATTCAATCATAAGAGCAACATGGAATGGATTGAGTCAATACCAAGTAATTTGAAAAGAATATTAACCAAAGAAAAGGAATTCAATCTCTCAAAAGATGATTTGAAGAAGCTAAAGCATATAAACCAAGCTTTTAAAAATCGGCCAGTTCAGTCAAGAATCAGTCATAAGGTCGGTTTGGTCTACTATTAAAACTAGTTCCACATTGAACTAGACTGAAAATACAATTTTTATGATGTAAATAGCATTTATTTTTAATTAATAATGATAAATTAATTATATACTTCATTTATTATTTACATACTATACAAGTTAATAAATTAATTAATTATTACTAATAAATGATCTAACATTAGTAATTTATAAATGTAAAATTAAAATATGAATTTAATATATAATTTATAAGCGTAAATTAGATTTAAACATATAACATAAATTAAAAATAATTTATGTTAAATTTATAATTTTGTATGAAAGTTAAATTTTTGTTAAATTTGAAAAAAATTTAAAAAATTGAAGATGTTTAAATTTAAAATTACATAAGATATTATTAATGTGTAAATTCAATTTAATTTTAAATTAAAATTTTATATTTTTACATGATTATTTTGTCATTTAAATTGTATTTAAATAATTTCAGATTTATTAGGTCATCAAGCTTAACCCCAATTTGACCTCGATCAAATTATTGAACAACTAACCTCTCATTCTTCTAATTTTATGTTTGGTTCTATTTTGACAACTTTTATTTAAACTCATCATATAAGTGCTGCAAATTTGGACTCAAGCACTGTGATTTTTTATGACAACAAACATTATTGCTTCCATATTGCCATCTTCTTGTTCCTATTAAATATATGTTTTGTTACCCTGCTCACTAATATTTCAGGTCCATAATTCACTGGCAACTTCAATCAACTCAAGATTAGGTAGACTAGGGTTGAGTCTATTTGTAATTTTAACTTCAATGTACTTTTATCTTTATTGAGTCAAGTCATGTATATTGTGGATACTAAGTTGAGTAATCTTGCACACACACTCAATGGAGTGAGTTGGAAAAGTTTATATTTTTTGACCTAATCCTATAATATGATTTATATCGTATTAGACGATTTGTTAAAACAGGAAATTCTAATTATGGCACCTTAGTTAATTAAGATTGATTAAACTCATCGTACTGTACAATCTCTATCGTACAAAAGGATTCGTTATAATCAACAAAATAGCTGCCAATCACAATTTACGTAATATTTTAATATTCAAAATCTATGTTTAATCGTACCATATGATTGTCATCATATTGTACGATCGATGACAATCATAACTAAATTGATCATATGATTGGATTTTTAATTATGGTTAAATTGTTCAAATAGATCATACATGACGATTGGAGACGATCGTAGTGTATGAATTAATTTCTGCATGGGACAATAATTAAATGCTTGCCCTCGTATTGGACGATTAGCTATGTATTTGTATTGATCATACATGACTATCAAGACAATCGTATTGTACGACCCGACTCCTGCATAAGACAATTTTTAAACATAGCCCCTCATATTGGATGATTATATATGTGTTTATACTAATCTTATAGGATGATGTGCCAAATCGTACAAGACGATCAATATAAACACTTGAACTGATCGTATAGTGGGTTGTAGTTCGTACTGGCTGAACAGGGTGATCTTGGATTGTACTGGACGATCGAAAGTGCCAGATTGAAATTTTGGGCTTTCATGGAGGCTCTTTATTTAAAGTCTTCTATTGTCTTGTTTCACAAGACTTTTGCCTGCTAAGTGCTTTGTGAGGGACAAAAAAAGTGCATAGGAGAGCTTTGGGAGAGAGAAGTGAGGAAGAGATTTTTGTAAGGAAGATTTATGAGGATGCACAAGGTTGCTCCAAGCAAGGTTCTTCCTCGACTTTTTCAAGCTTCTGTTTTGATCCTTTGGAGGCTCCAAGAAGACATACTACAACAATAGTCCCAGGTTCTTTATCTTCTCTAGGAGGGAGAAAAATGATTGATGTTTCTTTGCAGTTACCAGGAGAGTGAAAAAGGATTGATGGTTCCCTGCCTTCACTAGGAGGGTGAAAAAGGATTTCAAGTTCGCTGCCTTCGACGGGTTTGTGAAAAAGATTTTGTAAGGGCTTCCCGACCTTGCTATGGGGGCAAAAGGTGAGACACAACTTTTATTGTAATACCTGAAAAGGAGATTTCCATATATTGGATGTAGGTCAATTTAGACCAAACCACTATAAATTTTTGTGTTCTATTTTTACTATTTCGTACTTCTTTTTTATTGGTTTATGGTGTGGTTAATAAACTTTAAATTTCTATTATCGTAGTTTTAATTTTCTTCCGCATTAAAGGGGATTAAAGTGTTATCTTTTTGCCTAAAATTTTTAAATAATCAATTCACCCCCCTCCCCCTCTTGGTTAGCCTCGGGATGGTTCATTTAGGTTCAACAACCTACATGAACTTTCAAAAATGAAATCATATAATGAAGTTGAAGCTTCTTCTAGTACACGAGGATTTTAACTTGAGTGAGACCTCTTTAGAAAGATTACTCGTATGGATCAATTACTGTAAGGAAAACTTCATACTCAAGTTATAACTTCAATCCCGATCTTGTCGATCTCCATACCCCTCGCAAATATATTCTTTACACAATTTGATAGGGTGATCATTTGAACAATTAATGTTGTCCTCAACTTCATTTAGCCATAATGATTAACCTCAAGATAGAATATATTTCTATAATCTCCATCTTTCCAACCATGATGAAGGCTTTGAGGATCACAATGATTTTATTTAGTAATTCAATCTCCATAAGTATTTCCTCATGTGTGCACATAGAAATTGGCATTCACTGTTCTTCCTTAACAAACTTCATTGCAGGACTAGCCACCTTCAAGTATCCTCTCCTCTTATTAGAGCTAACTTGAGGTTCTCACTTTCATTGAAAACAACTTAGGAATTGAGTCCCACTCACAACCTTAGCTAGTGATATCACCAGTGAGTTCAACCTCCTTAGTGACTCTCTTCTTAAAATTTTATATCTATTTTCCAAAAACAATCTCACCACTACTATTTTGACTTTATCAATGACTTTCTCTTCTAAATTCTTGACTTTGTACTTATCCATTTTAATTATTTGTTGAGGCTCATCCATCTAAGACTAAAACTTGATCTTGGCTCTTTAGGATTCCTTTTTCATTAGCATTGGAATTTTTAGAATAAGTTTGTGACAAACTCCCTATTCTGATGAATGTTGAACTATAGTATTTGTTTATTTCAAAACCAAATAAAGGCCCCATAGTATTTAAATTATTGTTAGCCCACTACCTGTAATGGAGACTAATCTTCAATCACCTTATTAAGGAGTCACTCCAAAGTAGATCATCCATAATTGTTATTGGAGCTAGCTACCTCGTAAGTGTTAATCCTTGCATTGATAAATCTAAACTTATTTTGGCCTTCTCCATGATAACCTCAATTTCGTTAATTAAGTTCCTTCTCAAAAGAAATTAAACATAACTTCATTTAGGCCTTCTCCTTAGCAAACTATGCCTTTGCAAAAAATTTCTTGGCATCAATCTCCTCTTGGTTTCAATTCCCCTCTTGGTGATTAAATGTTCACCACTTTTAAATGTTTTCCACTTTTAAATATTCATCTTTTTCAATTGAGATCATTGAGAAGTAACAACTTTAGCTCTATTAGGCTTCGTTTGAGATGACTTTTTTATTATTTTTTAAAACATTTTTCTAGTTTAAAATTTAAAAATTTTATACTAGAAAGCTGCTTTAAGAAGCAATAAGAAAGCTGTCCCAAACGAAGCCTTAGCCTCACCATTAGTACAATTATAGGGTTTTTGTAGATCAAAGATTAGTAAAAAAGAAAGCAATTAACAAAAGTTTTTGTAGCTAACCCTTTACACAAATTCGAAGTTTTACTAATGTGTATGCCACTTATCAAGATTCAAGAACTTTGAAGATCTAATGTTTTAAACTCACTAAGGAAAATTGGTTTTTCTACATTTATTCTCATATTCTTCTTGGCCTTATAGAAGAAACAAGATAATCAATGAGCTAATATACACATATATTTGTCCAGGTTAGATTGATCAAATCAACTTGAAAGTGTGTACTGGGTTTTCAAACTTGTTGATGATGAATTAGATCAAGTCTACATTTATAAACTATCTAGTCAACAAATTTCAAGTAGGCATTCATTCATTAGAACCTATCTACTAAAAGGATCTATAAAATTAACTACTAATAAAAGATGTTGTATTTAAAATTTATCCAATTGAATGAATTATTTATCAATAATCAGTAGAACTTATCAAGAATATCAACCACTTCATGAAGAACTTGCCTAAAAATATTGCTCGATGGAAGGGTAGCAAGCATCCTCACTTACTACAAGAAAAGCTACAAGAAAAAAAATTTTTTTGTTTTAAATATCATATATGACGCCGGAGCTGAGCCCCTTATTCATTCATGAATATTTGTGCGTTGAGTTTGAGCCCTTGGTGCGTGATTGAGTAATTATCATCAATCCTAGCATACAGATCATGCGCATAAACCACGCACGAAACATCCGTTGGAAATGAGGAAAAGCAACTGCTCCGCCTCTCTAATTTGATTTTGCCGGGAGTCCTAAACTCTATGGAATTCATCATTTTTTGAGAGCGATGCTTATGGGTAATCCATTCATTGGCAGGGCGAAGGGAATATACTGAACTCCACTTTCCTGTCCACAAATTGACCACCTGAAAGGAGAATTAAGCACAGTTTCAGTTTCAATGTTTTATTGCTATGTCGGATAATGACCAATAAGTAATTTTATGTAAGAGAAATATATTTTTGTTGTCATATATTTTTTGGGAGCAATTAATCAACCTGTATTTCGTGGTGAGATGATGGAGGAGAATGAGCATCTCCAGCTTTGCCAACTCATTTCCAGGGCATGCGTGAGTCCCGTTTCCGAAGGGCATGAACGTGTTCGGCTTCGGTGAACTCTGCACCGATCAACGCAACACCCGACATATAATTAGCTTTGAATTAATGGGGTCTTCAAAGAGACAACGGGAAGATGTGACCATGTTATAACATATAAGCAATTATTGACTATTTGGTTCAAATATAATTAATAATAAATTAAGATTTAATTTAAAAATAACATAGGCAAATTCTGGCCACTAGCTACTTGTATAATAAGATTTTCTATCCAATTTTAACGAAATGCCGGCGTAAAAACTCCACTACTTCTCCCTAGACCAAATGGGAAATTACTCATCTCATCTTTCATCCTATGAGATACTGTACCATAATTAATTGCTGGATTCATACCTCAAATCTGGAGGGGTCGAACTTGTCGGGGTCTGGAAAATTGTCTGCGTTGTGATGAATGTTTCGAAACAGGGGAAGGACTTTCCAACCCTTTGGTATTAGATAACCTGCGTCGGATCAGTAACAACTTGTAATTAATTATTAGCTAGTAAGTCTAAATTAATTTGTCCTAATAATTTCAATGAGCAATGGAAAAAATTAAGAACAATTAATTAATGTATATGGCTTGAGCGGCGAGAACCCACCTTCATAGTGGACATCCTCGACCGCTTCCCGGAAGGTGAAAGAGAGGATGGAAGCAACCCTCATGGTCTCCTGAATGACCCTGCAAGTGACGGGCATCCTCTTCGTATCCGCCCAATTCAAGGCCCTCTTATCGTCGTCTCCCACCACAACCTCCTTACGCCTTCGAATCTCCTCTTGCTCTTCCTGCATTTTGTAAAACAATATTAATGAAATTAATAGTATGGAACAAGTAAATAAATTTGTCGATAGACGTTGTTAATTAATTACCGTGACGAGCTGGAGGACGGTGGGGTTCTCGGCGAGGTACTTGAGGATCCAAGTGAGGACGCTGGCGGTTGTGTCGCGGGCTGCAAAGATGACCCCGATGATGTTGTCGGCTATCTGTTCGTCGGTAAGAGACTCTTTTTCATCCATGAAGGAGGCGAGGAGATCGACGTCGGCAAAGGCGGATTCATGATGATGTTGTTCATTATGATGATCAGGAGCAACTCCAGCTCCTCCTCCTCCTCCTCCTCTCAATTTTTGTTGCATCCTCGGCATCCTCCTGCAGGAGATGATCCTAGCCACGAGGAGACCGAGCTGATGCCTGGCCTTCAAGGACTTGTGGAAGCGTGTCCCAGGAAAGTTGGTGGGCATGGAGTTGTACCCTTTCTCTAGGGTGTAGTAGCACTGCTTCAGCTCGTCTATGTAGGATTGCCCCTCCTTTCCAAATATGGAAAGAAGCGCCACATTCAACGCGTACTGCAGCCCGGAGCATTATAATTAATTAATTAGGATGGATTTAATTCATGAATTGAGCGAGCGAGCAAGCTAGTTAGTTACCAATTAAATTTTTATTGATTAGAAGTATGCATGATCTTTTAGTAGCGTGTTAGTGTTAGAGAGAGAGAGAGAGAGAGAGAATGAGAGATGGATTAATTAATTTTAGGTAGTTAGTAGGCAAGAGCTAATTAATTATATGCTGATTGATCGATCAGTAAATCAGTACCGTTTTCATCTCCTTGTAGGTGTTGATGAAGCCGCCTCCTTCCAAGGACGAGAGGGCCCGCAGAGCGACCTCCTCGATGGAGGAGACCTTGGATCGGAGGGCATCAGGCATGAATGCGCGGAGTACCAAGCGGCGGAGCCTGGCGTGGTACTCGCCTCGCTGGAAGAAGATGGCCTGCCGACCCAGCATACGCTCCTTGCTGGCAGGGAAGGTTGGCTTGAAGAGGTGAGCCTTTGTCACCAGCACAAATCTGGCAGCCTCCGGGCTCGACATCATCACGCAGTGACATCCTAGTATGTGCGTTTTGAAAACCGCCCCGTACCTCCTCTGCTTCTCTGCAAAGAAGCTGTTGGGACTTTTATTTGAGTACAGCTGGAACGTCTCCCCAATGTAAGGCCATCCCATCGACCCTGGAGGAAGCCGCAGCCGCTTCACGGGTTCATCTTCCCCTGCGGCGCCACCAGCCGCTGATGCTGCCTTCTTCCACCCCACGTGGCGGAAAATCAGACAGAGAAGCGCCGCCAGTAGCAGAACAACGTTAACGGCGGTGGCGCTCGGCATGGAAATAACGGTGCTCATAGCGGAAGCGGAGCCGGTGGAACAAGAACTTATAATAATAATAATTATTATTATTACTATTATTATCATCAACGAGTGCCATAATAGAGATAAACTTTAAAATTTAGATGGATGGAAGAGCTACCTTGATGCTCTGTTGACTGGAATTAATTTTGCGGAGGTAGCCGAGGGATGGCGGTGGCAGAGTTGGCGGAAATTGAGGGATGGAGGGATGTTGGGAAGCAGACCGGGCCGCTAACGATGTATTTATAAGCCGAGACGACAAAACAAGTTGGGAGTGATCGGCCAGCTGTGATGGGGGTTTTATAATTTAGCAAGGCTGACTGGGCTGTGGGACCGGGTGTGGAAGCCAATGCTTCTGTAATACACAGCTAAAGTCCACCCAGTTCCCCTTCCAGCTATGTACTCTCCTATGAGCTCACACATATGAGGAATGAATCTGCAGGATCCATGAACCACGACTGGTGTAGGCTTGAAAATCGAAATATTACAGTTTAAAGTTATGGATGGCAACGCATGCTCATCGTCAGCGCTATATTTTAATTAGGATAAATTTTTGGCAAATTATTGCATCCGGTCACACATAAGAGTTTGGATCTCTCTCTGTCTACAGTAAAGCGCAGGTATGCTACAATACCTGTGCTTTTACTGTAAACAGAGAGACGAATCTCTCTATCAGGTGACCGGATGGAATAATTTGCCTACATTTTTAGAGCTTTAGAAGACGATAAAATTAACCACCACGAACCGCAGCGAGCAGGCTGCACTCACCAAACTAGGGCAGGTTTTGAGCCGGAGGACTACGGTTCGCCTCGCTTCCCACATGTATCACGCACACGAGGGGGAACGGGCTTCCAGGCTACATGCACCATGGACAAGCAGATCTTTAAATTTTTAATTTATTCTAAAAAACAAAATATATTTGGCTCGCTCAAATTTCTACTTACTAATGTGTTTAGTGATTAAAGAAAAAGACATTTCTCATTCTTAAAATATTAGGAATCCTATTACTCTCTTCGGATTGCACGAAAGAACATCATATTTGATGACGAAGGGAAAAACATTTTTGATTAAAACTCCGAGATGGAAATTTAAAATCAGACAGAATCTTACCTCGGCAGCACGTTAGCTCCAGCATAATAATACTTCGATAAAAGAATCCTACCTTGACAGCCCATTGGCTCCGGCATAACAACACTTCATTAACAGAATCTCACATCGATCGCCTACTAGCACTGACACAACAAAATCTCACCTCGGTCGCACATTGACAGCGACATAACAAACTGATGTTGTACATCATACCATAAGAGAATCTCATACCATCTGTTATGTTATTGCACTCTTACCCTTTTCATTTTTGCTATAGCAAATTAATTCCCACTACTTTAATTTCCCTTTCGAATGGCCTACACCTCAGTCCTTTTTTTATGTGCGCAGTTTTCATGGATTGGTGAATTTTTACCGGCGCTTCATAAGAGGATTCAGTATACTAGATGTATCGCTATCCGACTGCTTGAAATCCAAGCAATTCATGTGGAAAGATACACAACAAAGTAGTTTTGACACTATCAAAATTTCTCTCATCTCAGGCCCTATCCTTGCACTACCATATTTTGAAAAACCTTTTATTGTTGAAACAGATGTTTCGGGTACATGTGTTGGAGTCATCCTTATGCAAAATAACAAGTTTGTTGATTATTTCAGTGAAAGGTTTTGTCTGGCCCGTCAAAGATGGAGCGTTTATGAGCAAGAACTCTATGTCATTGTCCGTGCCCTCAAGCAATTGGAACATTATCTTTTACATCAAGATTTTATACTTCACAATGATTATAAAGCTTTTCAGTATATTAACAACCAGAAAACACTCAATCGCATGCACCCTCGTTGTATTTTGTTCTTAAACATAAATCTAGTTCTGAAAACAAAGTCGCATATGTTTTAAGCATTCAATCCACTTTATTGTTATAATTAAACATTGAATTTATTGGTCTTCATGCCTTAAAGACTTATACCATTCTGATAAAGACTTCAAGCAAATATGGGCTGATTGCTTAGAACAGAATTCAGTTGGGAAGTTCTCTATTAGACATGGATATTTGTTCAAACAGAATTCTCTCTGCATACTAGAATCTTCATGGCGACAGTAGCTTATTCGTAAATTGCATTGTGGTGGTCTGGCATCCTACGTCGGTCATGACAAGACCATCGAGCAGCTACAACTATGAATCTTCTTGTCACATTTATGTCGAGATGTCACTAAATTCATTGAGCAATGCTATGTGTTCCAGTCTTATAAAGGAAGCAACCAAATTATGGGTTTGTACTTACCTTTACTTGTGCTTGATACAATATGGGAAGACCTTAGTCTTGATTTTGTTCTCGGCCAACCACAAACAAAATGAGGTAACGATTCTATCATGGTTATGGTAGATAAATTCTCCAAAATGGTGTATTTTATTACTTGCAAAAAAATATTTGATGCCCTTAACATAACTCACTTATTTTTTAATGAAATTGTTCATTTACATGGCATCACCCGCAGCTTAACTTCATATCGCAATGTTAAATTTGTTAGTCATTTCTAACGAGAATTGTAGAAAAGGATTAAAACAGACATCAATTTAAGTTATGCTTACCACCATCAATCGGATGTGCAAACTGAGGTGGTAAACTGTACATTAGGAAATATGTTAAGGTGTTTGATTCAAGAGCACCCCAAACTTTGGGGTGAAATATTAGCCAAGCATAATTGGCCTATAATCATGCCAAATTGATCGACAAACACTTCACCATTCTGTGTTGTTTACACAGAAGTACCCAATCACACTGTCAACATTGTCGTTCTACCTAAGTGTAATAGTCGCAGCACAGCCTAAGTGGTTAATCAATTTACCAAAATGCACCATGATGTATGCCTCAAACTCATATCTTCTAACAAAAATTATAAAACAGCTGCTGATTCTCACCGACGGAAGAGAATTTTTAAACCATGTGACTTAGTCATGGTGCGTATTCGCTAAAAGCGTCTACCTCCTGGAGTATACTCCAAATTGGGCCGCCAGAAAGTTGGTCCATTTCCCATATCATAGAAATCAATGATAATACTTATATCATCGATTTACCTACTGACTTTGGCACAGCTTCTACCTTTAATGTAGCTGATCTTCATCTATATTATCCAACAGACGATGCTCTTATTTCAACCTCTGCTGAGACAACAAAGTTTTCTCCAATGGGGGAGAATTGATGCAAGTACATCATAAGATAAGGGAATATCATACCATCTATTATGTTATTGCACTCCTACCCTTTTCATTTCTTCTCTAGTAGCTTAATTCCCACTACTTTAATTTCCCTTTCTATTATATGCTAATATAGTTTTTGCTTTTGTTAGTTTTTCCACTTTTAGCTTTTAGACAGTGGAGACATATATAGTTGTAGTGTTGAAGCATAGAAAGATAGAAGACAATATACTACCTTTTCTAATTCCTATTCAGTTTGCTCTATTACTATTTTGTTTGTTTTGCTGCTTCACGCATTCCTCTTCCGATTACCTACATCACAAAATCCCATCTCGGTTGTTCACTGGCACCAGCATAACAAAATCCCACCTCAGTCGCCAACTGACGTTGGCACAATAAAATCTCACCTCAGTCGCTCACTGGCACTGTCATAACATCACATCACATCATGTCATATCATATCACATTTCTTTTATATTTTTTGATGCATATCATTAATTAAATCATGATTAGACTGAATGAAAAAATTGATAAAATGACTCAACAATAGCAACAGAAACTCTATGAAGCAAAAAATTCATTATTTAAAAATATAACCAAATAATCATATTACATATATAATAAAATTCTAAAACTTTTATTTAACTAAAATACTATTTTTAAAAGTTAAAATAAATTTTAAAATTGATACAAATTGCCATTTTATCAAAACCACCCTACAAAAAATTTGTAAAATCTACTCAAAATGTTCATAATCTCAATCTCTAATGTATAATTACATGATGAAAGTTATAACAAAATAAATTTATCCTCTTATCTCAATAACAGAAAAATAAATTTGATCGAAAAAATCTCAAAAATATAAAACGAGCTCTACTTCTAGATGTTCATTAACTTAACAAACGAGCTTTATCGAGCCTCCTAACAAATAATTACATCGTGCATTTTTGTGAATATATTTAATAAATTTTTTTAAAATATCAAACAAGCACGTTCATGAACATATCTAATGAGTATTCTTATGCTATCAAATGAGCAAGTTCATGAACATATATAACTAATTTTTTTGAGCCACCAAACTAGCTCGTTCACGAACAAGTGATCTATGATCCATCTTATGTTTGTTCATAAATATTTTTTAAACAAGCAATCAAGCAAACATGGACAAATGTGAAATTTCTCTTGTACATGAATCGAACATGAATCGAGCTTCTTATTGAGCCTAATTTCAAGCTTGTTCACGAGCTTTAAATGATATTGTTCACGAACACATTAGTGTTCAAGCTTGTTTATTTAAGGATCGAGTATTTAAAAAATTGTTCAAGTTTGTTTGTTTAGTTAAATAAACGATCACAAACGAGCTTTAATCGAATCAAGCAACAAGTAGCTCGTTGAATGCTTGGTTCGCTGCAGCCTTATTTAGAATGATAGGGTGAAATCGGTTTATAAAATGGACATCTAATAGTCCCAAAAAGTCCACTTGTACTTATAGATGCTAATTTCTTAGGAAATTACATCAGTGCCCAAAAATTATGAAAATAATAAAACTGAAACACAAAAATATATATTTATGGCAAAGGTGGTATGTGATTTGGACTTATAATGACTTTCGAAATAGTTTTAACTGTTATATGTAAAAAATATATATCTTTTTTTAAAATTTTGAGTTATGACAATCTATTCACCTTAAAAAAATATCATCCTCAATATATTCAAATCAAAATAAGTCAGAATAAACCTATATACAACTATCTCATCTAAGATTCATTCTCCCAAGTAGCCTCTCCAGCGGTCTTGTGCCTCCATTGCACCTTAACCATTAGAATATATTTGCTCCTCAATTTTCTCACATCATATGTTAGAATCTTATTTGGCTCTTCCCTATAATATAGAATCAGAAGAATCTCAATATCATTAGTAGATAATCTCTTTGCAGAATCATATATCCACTTTCTCAAAGAAGATATATGAAATATACTTTGTATATTTGACATATGATCGGATAATAATAACCGGTAACCAGAACTATCAATCCTCTTAA